AGAATGAGGGAGTGAAGATTTGAGGAGAAAGAAGGTGTGAAATAAACCTGATAAGAATTTAGGTTCAAAGCTTCTTCCAGTTCTTCCGAGAGACAATCAGGATTAATCCCATTGACCTCCAATCCCTATTTACTGTCATTCAAGAGGCTCTGTCCACCAGCAGTCCAAGTTTTTTTCTTCTTTTTAAAATTTTTTTATTTATTTTAAATTGAAGGATAATTGCTTTACAGTATTGTGTTGGTTTCTGTCAAATATCAACATGAATCAGCCACAGGTAGAAGTAATTCCGTTCCCTCTTGAACCTCCCACTGACTTCCCTCCCCATTCCACCCCTCTGGGTTGTGACAGAGCTCCGATTTGAGTTCCTTGAGTCATATAGGAAATTCCAATTGACTACCTATTATTCAGCTCTGCTCACGTCTGATCTAAGAGTTATTTGACCCTCCTCCATACCCTTGCACTGGATGTCTGGAGCTCCAAAGAGGTGACAGTAATGTTCCCTGAGCTGACATTCTTTCCTCTTAATGTGCTCCCCTCCTCCTAGCCTTAAGCAAACCCTGGTTTCCTTGAGGACACTTCCCTTGCTATTCTCTCAGCTAGGGACTTTTCCCCTCTACTTTCACTCCACTCAGGGCCAAGAGGAGGGAGTATGTTCTGCTTGCCCTCCACTGACATCTTTAGACCATTGCTCTCCAGGTTTCTGGAAGGCCGTGCAGTGAAGGATAAGCTATCTGCTTGTACCACCTGACACTTTGCGTTCTCTGCCGCTCCTGTCCCATTGTCTGCTTTCTGCCCTCTCTCTCCTGTAATAATTTTCAGACTTTTAATAACCACACAGATGACCCTTTCCCCACCTTGGTCTCATAGTTCCTAGATTTTCTTGCTCCCAATAATAATTTTCTCACTTGATTTCATCAGTGGATTCCTCCATAACCTTTCCATCACCAGCATCTGCATCATCTCCAAAATCTTAATTTAGTCAGCCTTCTGCCCACATCTCCTATGTTTTGGCTCATTTGACATATTACATTGACAGAAACATTTTTTTCCTTCAAAACATCAATTCACTGGCCAAAGAAATCATCATTAAAAAAAAATGTTTATCCAGGTTAGACACATGCTAGATATAAAGATCATTATTGTACTCACTGCTTTGCAACCACACTGCTCACACTTCCCCATCACACTAGTGTGGCAAAATCAACCCTGATTTAACCCAATGTTCATCTTCTCTTCTCCTGGTCTTTTCATTCATTCATTTACTTATTTTTTTCCTCATCAACACAGTTTTTTATGGAATGCCCACTCTGCTCTCAGTAAGAGATAGAGCAGTGAATGAATGACTCAAAGCTTCTTGCCTTCATGAACTTACATTCAACACTGTGAGATTTCCCTAGAGACTCCTTTTTTTGCTTCCTTGAAAATATTTTCCTTCATTTCTTCTCGCCTAGAATATCCTACATGCTCTCCACAATCCCTCATTCTCAGTGATGACACTGATAGCCCCTGAAAAAGAAACTGAAGAAATCAGATATATACTCCCTTACATTCCCATCACCTAACATAGAAGCCCAACTCTACATATATCCGTCTTATTTTTAACATGAAGAAAAATACATAATGTGATATACATATACATATGTGTATACACACACATATAAATGTGTCTGTATATATGCATTCCTCTGTTACCTTCCTAGAGACCTAATTTTTGCAGTTCTTCTCTCTCTCCATCACCAATTTCTTCTCTCACATTATCAGAAACCTCTAATGACCACACAGTCCCTTCTAGTGCTTCATGTCTCTGCCACCCTGCAAAGCATCATTTCTCTAAAAATTATCTGTGCTCTATCTGTCCATGTTTTCACCTCTTATTCACTGTCTATGCTCTTCAATCTGGCCTCATTTTTCTCCACGCTATTAAAGATACCATTGTCATGAAATTCATCTTTCTTTAGTTTCCTTGATAACAGATTCCCCTGGGGTCCTTTTCACCTTTTTGGTTACTCATTCTCAGTTGTTTTTTTTTTTTTCAGTGAGTTCTTTTTTCTTACTCCTTCTCTAAGTATTGGGCTTCCCTGATAACTCAGCTGGTAAAGAATCTGCCTGCAATGCAGGAGACCCCATTTCAATTCTTGGGTCGGGTAGATCCTCTGGAGAAGGGATAGGCTCCTATGCCAGTATTCTTGGGCTTCCCTTGTGGCTCAGCTGGTAAAGAATCTCCCTGCAATGTGGGAGACCTGGGTTCAGTCCTTGAGTTGGGAAGATCCTCTGGAGAAGGGAATGTCTATCCATTCCAGTATTCTGGCCTAGATAATTCTGTGGACTATATAGTCCATGGGACCTCAACTGATTCTTACCTTTTTGGTTATTTATTCTCAGTCTTTTTTCAATGAGTTCTTTTTTTCTTACTCCTTCTTTAAATATTGGAGTCCTCCCAGGACCCATCCTGTACTGTTTTATCTGCATTTGCCTGCTCTCCCTAAGTAACTTCATCTAGTCCTATGATTTTAAATGATGCCTACATGTATGGATGTGAGAGTTGGACTGTGAAGAAAGCTGAGTGCTGAAAAACTGTTGCTTTTGAAATGTGGTGTTGGGGAAGACTCTTGAGAGTCCCTTGGACTGCAAGGAGATCCAACCAGTCCATCCTAAAGGGGATCAGTCCTGGGTGTTCATTGGAAGGACTGATGCTGAAGCTGAAACTCCAATACTTTGGCCACCTCATGGGAAGAGTTGACTCATTGGAAAAGACTCTGATGCTGGGAGGGATTGGGGGCAGGAGGAGGAGGGGACGACAGAGGGTGAGATGGCTGGATGGCATCACCATCGAGTGATGGACTTGAGTTCGAGTAAACTGCGGGAGTTGGTGATGGACAGCGAGGCCTGGCGTGCTGTGATTCATGGGGGTCACAAAGAGTCGGACACGACTGAGCGACTGAACTGAATGGAACTGGACGTGCTTATATCTCCGGTATAGACTTCTCCCATGATGTTTGAATGCTAACTGACTACTCAAGATATCTACTTGGGTATATATTAGCATCTAGTCATCTCAAACTAAATGTCGTTAAGAAAGAAGTCTTGACTTTTCCTGGACTGAACAATTTTCTTTCCCAATCTTCCTCGTTCCAATAAATGGCATTGATACCTAGCACCTTAGACCTGGGAATTCTCCTTGATTCCTCCCTCACCTTCATCTTCTAGTGTCACTCTACCAATGCATTTTTTTTTTTATTACATCCCCCAAAGATACTTCAAATGTCTTCATCTTTTCTCCATCTCCACTGCCACCATCTTTGTCCACACTGTGATTATCTCTTCTTGGTCTACTGAGACAGTGTCTTGATTGGTCACCTTGCTCCCATTCTTACACGCTTATAATCTATTTTCTACCCAGAATCTGTAAGGATCAGTTAAACCCTGAAATCAGATCATGTAGCTCCCTTGTTACTACGATTGCAGGCTGCCAGTATCACTTAGATGAAAACCTGAACTCCTTATAATTCCTCGCAGGACTCCATCCTTCCTTTTTGCATCATCATCACATAATACTCACTCCCTGTTTCATTATATTCCCATAGTATTGCTCTCTTTTCTGTGTCTTAAACAGAGTGAGAGAGCTCATTGATGCATTTTGTTGCTGTTGTTTTTGCCTGGAATGCTCATCCCTGCTCTCATCACATATATCTCTTTCTTGTTTGTTCCTGAAATTTCCATTCAACTGTAACCATTACTCAGAAAGCCTTCTTATACCATGCTAATTAAAGTAGATATTTTACCACACTCCTCTCACTCTCATAATATGATTGCTTTCATTTTTTGAGAGAATTTCTTATGAGCTGAGGTTATTTTGCTTATTATTTGAATAATGGTGTGTTGTCTGTCTCTTCTAGCAGACAATAAGCTATTTGAGGGTGAGACTCATGTTTCATTTCATCTCTTCTGTATTCTCACCACCTCAAATAGTGCCTTTCCCATGCAAGTTTCACAATAAATATAGATTGAATAAAAGAATAGTTAGTAATATTCATCAGCAATTCACAAATACAAGGAGACATGCCTGCAAGAGATAAAGTAATTCTGGAAAGGGAAACATATATCTTGATGACTCTAGTAAAAAGTATTGGGTTTAATTTTTCCTTCTTCAAGGAGAATTGCCTTGGTTAAAAAAATAATGACTATATAGCATTTGAATAAGTAAACTACATCTATATGAATCAGAAGGCCCAGCTCTTAAAAACAAAAGGAAAGTAAAAAAGTTTCAGAATAATACATAGTGTATCCATGTATAAAAATGTAAAACTCCATAAGGCATCTCTTGTTTACATATGCAACTTACTTGGTAAAAGCAGAAAACACTGACTTTCAGGACAGAGCCATTCCATATTCATTATCATTGCTACTTCTGAGATGGGAAAGGAATGGGACTCCGGCAGGGAACAAAAAATACTTCAGTTTTATCTGCAAAGTTTCATGCCTTTTATTTAAAAAGTCTGAGGCAAATCTGACAAAGTGCTAACATTCTGCAGTTGGGTGGGTTGATGCTTGTTTATTATATTTTTCTTTATAATTACTGTACTTTCAACATTAAAAAAGAAACTTAGTTAAGGGCTTTCTATACCTGTGGTCTGTGGGGTACTTAAGGAATTAATTCATAAAACATAATGTCCTTGTATTTAAATCAGGGGTTAACTAATTCAATTTGGCATCTATCTTTATGATTCTTGGGTGGGCTTCCTTCTGGCTGGCGTCTGTGTTTTTGGGTCAGACTGAAGTGGTGTGGAATGTGGAAATAGGACGGAAAACATCTGTGCACTGACTCAAATATCTCTCCTCTGTTCCTCCAGGGTTGGCTCTTTTCCTCCTGACTTAAGAGTGGCAAAAATAACAAATGTCGTTTATTGAGGACGTACTACATGTTAGGGACTCTGTGTACAGTATCTCATCAATGCTCACAGCAACTCATTGAGGTGGATACTATCACTCCTGTTTTACAGGCAAGAAGACTAAAACTTGGAGATGACTTGTGCCAGACCATGCAGCCAGCAGAACAGACGATGGAGATAGAGGTCAGAGTTAAATTTATCTGACCCAAAATTGGGGGTTTTCTCTTCTACAACTTTACCTATTTCTTTTTGACCAAAAATGCCTCTTTGACTTCTAGAGTTTTCAAGTTTTGCTTTGAATTTAAAAGCTGCCTTCCTTTTATTCATGCACTTGGTCAATAATCTATCCCTTTCATAAAAGACATATTTAAACTGAGCTGAGCTTCATCTTTAAGAGATGAGATGGAGAGTCATATTATTTAGTAGTCACCATCTCTGTTACAAACTGGAATTTCATGGATGAAAAACAGGGTAAAATCAGAGTTGAAATTTTATTTTAGTTATACACACCACCTATACATGTGTGTGTTTATGTATCTGTAATACAGATATGTTTGTATATATGTACATGGGGGAGTGTATATGTACATCTTAAGAGAGTTTGGCAAAAGATATCAAAGGAAAGTGGGGGAAATTTGAAGGAATAAATAAGTACTACTAAGAATTGTACTCATAAAACTTTGGATTTGAGCTAATCAAGGCTGAGCCTTGTGAAATAGACAAGATTTGTTTTCTCAGGATCTATTTATTATTATTTCTTTATCATTCTAAGTAGCTAGAGCAGTGTTTCTGCCTATAAATTTCTTGAGTCAGCGACATGTTTTGACATCCATCTCCCATGTGGGACCCTGTCCTTCATCTCACTCACACACCCCACCACTGATATTTCCATGCTCATCTAGGGGTGCTGGAGCCCACCTTCCAATACCCAACCTAGGTACCAGTTCCCACTCACCAATGTTCCCTTAAAGATGAATCAGCCTTATTGCTTCCTGGTGAGAAAAGCAAATCGGGACAACTGCACCCTTTAATGTAAAATGGGCAATATCTTCTCTGTTGTAAGTAGCACATTTTCATTTTTTCCTTCTATTCTCATATTTTATTTAATGTTACATTCCCATATTTAATTTTGAAAAACTTTTTATTTTATATTGGAGTAGAGCTGATTAACAATATTGTGTTAATTTCAGGTACATAGCAAAGTGATTTAGTTTTATGCATTCATGTATCTATTCTCTTTAGAATTTTTTTCCAATTAGGTTGTTATATACTATCAAGCAGAGTTCCCTGTGCTATAGAGTAGATCTTTGTTGTTTATCAATTTTAAATATAGAAGTGTACATGTGTCAATCCAAAACTTCTTAACTTTAAAGGGTTGTCTCATTTACCTCCCCTCACCCCCATGATAACTTTATGTATTTCAGGCAAAATGACATTAAAAAAAAAAAACAGGGAAAAAATATCTTTCTATGTGTCTCAGAGCAGGTACGTTGCTGCTTTTTCTCAGTTTGTGTGTTAACAATTCTGTTATTCAGACCATCGTGTTGGAGCATATCAGGACACTGAGAAATACGTGACCACGCTTTTTTCTGGAAGAATGTATTTTGTCTTTCACTGCTGATTGGAAATAGAGGTTTTTGTAATGAAAGCAGATAAAGAACATAGGTTAGAGATAATGAGGGCAGGCAAGAAGGGTGTGATTTCTTTTTAAGTTGTAGCATGAAACTGAAAAATATAAGAAAGAGAAAAAAATTTTTTAAACTAAGGTATAGTAATTATCAACTTGAATCAATGGAAAATAACACTTTACATGAACATATATAGGTGGTTGTTTTCTTTCATTTACAGCTGAGATGTAATTTTGTTCAATTCCTTGGAATGTCAGCCTTTAAAACATATATATATATAATATATATATATATGTAGACCAGAATAACAGCGATAGAAACAGTTAAGTGTAACACCACAGGCTTTTTCAAAGCATTCCTTAGGATTTTGAAGATTTCAAATGGAAACAAAAAATCAACTTCATGGATATAGATGGCAGTTCTGTAAGTCATTTTTGTGCTCACCTGGGGGAGGGATTTGCTTGTAGAAGTTTTAAATAAATAATATAAATGGAAAGGAGAGATTAGATCATAGGATGGAAACTTTGGGGGATTATATACATCTTTTCTGTGGCCTTTCTTTTTTATTCCTTCATAGATATGCTTGATGGTTACTTCATGGTGGGAATAGCATAGACATTATCAGGCCTCAGATTTACTTACAAAGGTAAATAAAGCTCTTCTCTATTGTCAAGTAAGTTAAAATGTATTAGAGCCTATTGACTTTGGTATATTGAAATAATTCTGGCAGTTTCTATTGTTTTTTGAGTATCAAGTCCATTTAAGAGTAGTGGTCAGTCATGGTAATCCCTCCCCCAGTCTTGCTTATAAAAAGTGATTTATCTTCTATACTTAAGTGTTCTGTGAATTGATTGATGGTTAGGTAAGATAATTAATGAAAAGTCACTTCTATCTGATATAGTTTCATTTTACTTTCAGCATAATTTCTGGACACAGTAATTGTGTAACAGTAGTTTTTCAGGTATCTGTTTTTATTGAAAAAATATTACACTTGAAATGAGATGCTGTCTGGGATTTGCTTTACAATTCTCAAGGGAAAAAAGTAGCAGAAAAGATTAGGAAAATGTTGGCACTTAAATTTAGGCAATGACTACTTGGAGCTTTATTATACCCTCTATCTAGTGTATGTATAAAATTTTCCTACTGCATTCTTAGCTACAATTTACCTGTGAATTTTTTTTTCTCATCAGCTATTTGGTTATCCTGAAATATTACTCATATAAGAGTCAGAATACTTGATTTACTTCCTTTATACATCAATTTTCAGAATACTGTTCTATTTTCTAGGTATGCCTTGTTTTAGAGAGAATTTTAGAATTTACTTTTAGAGAATTTTTGTTTCTTATTTTACTTGATTTTTTAAAAATATACTTGATATCTTTAAATCCATTTCCATTATTACACATTTTGATGCCCAAGTTATCCCATCTTAGGTCAGTGGGAATCTGTTCAGATTGGCTCTTTCTTCTTTTTGGCACAATCACACCCGTCTCTGGTGGCTTTCTTGTCTTACAGCAGAACGAGAAGCCCCAGAGTCATCTTGTGCACTTTCTGTCCAAGAACTAGAATCTGTCATGTCTCCACAAGCTCAGGACATTTTCTTCTCAGCCATGGAGGGGTCTGCCTGTTCTAACTGCAAGGAGGAGACACTGTGAAGGTAAGGGTGTGCCGGGCTGTGCTAAGTCACTTCAGTCGTGTCCAACTCTGTGACCCCATGGACTGTAGCCCGCCAGGCTCCTCTGTCCATGGGATTCTCCAGGCAAGAATACTGGGGTGGGTTTCCATGCCCTCCTCCAGTGAAGGAAGGTTACACTGTGAATATTTGTTAGCAGAAATGGGAAAGTTTCTTTGGATGAGCTGCTGCCAGACATCATTGCTTATTCTTGTGGGTGGCCCATGCTTCTCACAGACATCACTTAATTATTACAGTAAGTGGCAGGGTGGTAAAGAATCCGTCTGCCAATATAGGAGATGCAAGAAATGTGGGTTCAATGCCTGGGTCAGGAAGATCCCCTGGAGTAGGAAATGGAAACCCATTCCGGTACTTTTGCTTAGAAAATGCCATGGACAGAGGAGCCTGGCAGGCTACAGTTCATGGGGTCGCAAAAGGTCAGACACGAGTGAGCGCACACAGCACAGTGTAAGTCCAGACCAGCCAGCTATCTCTCTTTAACTTGCTCCAGATTTACTCTGGCTTACAAACAGAGATCCTGCTGGCCTCTGTATGTCTCCATTTCACTGGGTCAGTCTTTACCCTTCAAATCTTTCTAGTGTCCAACTTTGCCAATAGGATAATTGGCTTCTCAGTTATAGCTGGCTCATATTCTTCCACTCAGTGTCTAAGATAGAGAGTCGTACTCAAACATCAACACCATTTTCTTCATCCATAATGTTTTCCTGGTAACTCTTTTAGGCATAACTAGAACAAGAGTTATCAAGGAGAGCACAGTTCTGATCAAGGACTTTGCACACAAAATCTCATTGTCTCATTTCATCCTCACCACAGTCCTACGAAGTGGGTGTTACTGTTCCCATTTTACAAGACCACACTGAGGCTAAGAGAGGTCAAGGATACTCCTTTCAGAAGCTGGGAGTTCCACAGAGGACTCTGAAGCCAAAGCTGGAAAATTTATCCACTGTTTAATGCCTCCTTTATCCTCAGGAATGCTAGAGATACAAAGGAATCTAAGACATGGGTTTTCTTCTCAAAGAGTTTATAATCCCAACTGAGAAAGAATCCTCACAGGAAAAATATATCAACACGAAGAGGCATATGACAAGAGACATGTCATTGTTTCCCTTCCAATCCACTTACCCCGTGCTGTCAGATTAATTTTACTAAAACGTTTTTGCTCTCATTACCCCCTGCTTCAAACTTCAGAGTTTCCCCACTGCCTTCAGGATAGAGTCCAGCTTGCTTGCTTGGCGTTTCAGGGATTCCCCACTTTGGCCCTTACCTGTCTTCTCATGTGTGAAATTCCACTGTGAGCTGGCTTGCTAACCGGGTTTCTAAGCCAAAGGACACGTCTGGTGCTCTATGCTTTTGTGTCCTAGAAATGTTATCACATAAAGGCATCCAAGTTTTTCTTAGCTCCACCTTTTAGAACAAGATCCACAAAAGATGTAAAGTCAATGGTTGCTCTGAACCCTCCTCTGTTAGAACTCTCCTTTGTAGCCAAACAGTAGTCTTATCCCCCAAAGGCAACTTCCCCAATTTCTGTCTTTGGGTCTTTGCTTATGTTACAACCTTGCCTTGGGGCCTTCATTTTTCCTCACCTGCCTTCCTTTCAGAGCCATTGACATCCTGGAGCCTCCCCGATTTCTAATATGATGTCATTTGAAAGTCCTCACATCTTATTGTTTGTACCAATTACTACATAGAGTCTTAGGTTACCACTTATACATATTTATTGTATTTGGTCTTTTTCTAATTATGAAAGTAACAAATGTTCAAGCAAAAACTTGGGGATGTGCCAGGCACAATGGGAGAAAATTAATTACTGATAATCTCACAACTCAAAGATAAGCATTGCTAATATTCTGCTGTGTGTGTACATACACACTACAGGATATATATAACAACAATGGTATCACACTGTACCTGTGATTTCATAACTCGATCTTTTCTGTTAGCAGAATTTCTCTGGTCAATAGTATTTAAACACATAAATTTTATTTTATCTTTAATTAATTAATTACTTGGCAGTGTCAGGTAGTTGCCCCACGGCACGTGGGACCTTAGTTCCCTGACCAGGGATTTTATCTGCAGCCTCTGGACCACCAGGGAAGTCCCCCCATCGATTGTAAACATCTTCAAAATACCTCATTACATAAATGTTCCTTTGCTTAGTTATTCAATTTTATATTAGTAGATATATTGCTTGTCTACTATGAAAGAGAAAGTGAAAGTGTTAGTTGCTCAGTCACCTCTGACTCTTTTGAGACCACATGGACTGTAGCCCATCAGGCTTCTCTGTCCATGGCGATTCTTCCGGAAAGAATACTGGAGTGGGTTGCCATTTCCTTCTCCAAGGGATCTTCCCCACCCAAGGATTGAACCCAAGTCTCCAGCATTGCAAGCAGATTCTTTACCATCTGAGTCAGCAGGGCAGGAAATATATTTTGGACTTCTTAACTTTTTAATGTGGAGGAAATAAGAATATTTGTTCTAACGGTAGACATACCAGGTTCAAAACTTCTTCCTAGCTCTTCTCCTTTAGGCAATGATAATATCTACATTATATTTCCTCATCTTTGGAATATTCATCAAAATACTGCTATGTCACAGTTTTGTTGCAAGATAACTGGTCCATGGTAAGTCAGTAATAAATGCAGTTTGCTGTAATTTCTACTTTTTGGCCTCATGTTTTTTCACCTATAGTGAAAGTTAAAGTTGCTCAGTCATGTCTGACTCTTTGCGACCCCATGGACTATACAGTCCGTGGAATTCTCCAGGCCAGAATACTGGAGTGGGTAGCCTTTTCCTTCTCCAGGGGATCTTCCCAACCCAGGGATCGAACCCACGTCTCCCGCATTGCAGGTGGATTATTTACCAGCTGAGCCACAAGGGAAGCTCATAACTAGATCATAAATCCTTTATGGGAAATAGTTTTATTTCCTGGGGCTTGTATTGTAATAGGTGGTTAACAGCTACTTGTTAATAATCATAACAATGATGCTTCAATAGTCACTGAGTGCTCGCTGGCTAGGGAGTTGCTGTTAGTAATTGTCCTGGGCAAACCCCAAACTTCTATTGCTTCTCTAAAACTTTTCTTTCCCCATCCAAATGCTCATTTTGGTGTTAATTTTAGTTTCCCAATAATCCACTTTCCCCTGTATTCCTTACATCCGAGTTGTTATGCTGATTAGCGGTCGTAGGTGTAGATGGTGTTCTAATAGCAGGATTTGGGAAGGTCTATGCTACCCCCATGTGATGGTATTTCTAGGGTACTAATGCACGGCACTGGGAAACATATCTTTGGCTGAGCTAGCCAGTTCAAAAGCCAGCTTCACAGCAGAATTTCACACATGCAAATGAGCCATTGTGATCCTGGTCATGAAAATTCATGGAATAGTGGCTAGTTCAGTGTGGATGACCTGTCAATTTGGCAGCCAATCATTTAGTTAAACATCCAAATTACTGGCCAGTTACTCCGACGAAAGCTAGTCTTCCTGTTTGTGACTGGGTTCTATGTAATCCTATTAAAAGCAATGACATTCCCTTTGGTTTGTGGCAGCTAATGTGTAGAAGTACCATGCAGGCATAGGACATGTGTCTGGCACAGTTTAAAAGTGGGCATTGTGAGAATGGACTATTTGTGTTACTACTGGATTTATCTTAAAATCCTAAATATCTTTCATTGACTAACAGGCAAAGTATCCTGATTTCATGGGTACCTCTATTAACCAGTTTCATCAATTGTAAATAGGAGATCCTCTAAGGATTGCATCATCATCTTTCAACGTGTACTAACTGATTTTGTTGGATCTATATTTCACTCCTTGGCCCAACCTGTCCTGTTCTGTCAGGCAATCAGACAGAAACCCATGGAGACTACTCAGAGCCTGGTAGACCTTAGGATCTGACTTGACCCACTCGTAGCTTAATTCAGATGTAAGATAATAGCATTGTTATGTTGGAAAGCAAATCTAGAACAGTAAACCCAAATCACAGACTTCACTGAAAATATAAGGAAAACGTCAGACTTTAAGTGGAGTGAAATGCACACAATCTAGCCTGAAAGTTCTGAGAGTTCAAGTATCGGTTGCAGCCCAGAGATCCCGGGAAGCATGAATTTTAGGTTAAGATGCCTGCCCTGGGTGTGAGAGTGAGGTGCAGGAATAGAGAGAGACAGAGGAGAAGCACAGAGAGAAAAAAAAACAAAGAGAAGCAGAGAAACACATAAACACAGAGACAGAGGCAGGTTGGAGAGGCAGGGAATGTAACTCCAGTTCTTTTAGCAGAGCACAACTTCTCAACGCGACATTCAACTGGATTCTAATAAATGCTTTCCAATATTTGTAATCCCTCCTTCTTCTGGTGAATTAAATCCCTCATGTGAGAGACACAACATATCTCACACCTGATGGTTTTTGACCTTAGTCTTGAGAAATTCTACAGGGACACAGATTTCATTTTAAAGGCAAGTATGTAGGCTGTTTGAAAACACGGTATTACAGGTTAAAGGACTATATATTTGGCTTTCAAGTGAAAAAACCTTTTGTGTATACTGAAGACCACTGATTGAATAATTATACTAAAAACACTACTGATTAGGAAGGCTTGTTTCACATATTTTTAAACCAGTGTTTAATATATGTTATATTTTATTCTCACAGTAGCCCTGATGTTAGGTAGGAAAGAAATTGCAATATGTATTTCAAATTTAAAGAGATGGAAGCAGAATATGTATAGAGACTTTTCTGGAATTACAGATGCACAATAAAAAAATGAACTCTAGAAACCAATCTTTGATTTTAGGCTGAATCTATATATCCCTTTTGATAGAACACTGATATAACCAGCATAAATCCTTTTGTTTCCTAATACAAAATATATGAATTTAAAATAGTGTTCTTGAAATCGGACAAAGTAAGAGAATCATAGAGATTTAGAAGGTAGGCAGTCCTAGAGACGAACACTAATCCGACCTCCTC